TTTACCACACGGCTATATTCAACGTTTTGAAAATGGCGCAGATGTAGTGCAGACTCAAGAACAAATTATTAAACAAATTCAAGGTGGTGCCTTAGCTCTCACACCGTACATGCCTGTAAATTAAAAAGCTGTAAAACCTTAGTTTTTATTTAATCTAGTAAAAGCCTTTGTGAATTAAAAGCTTTTATTACTAGTTAATCAAAAACTTAGATGGATAAAAGTAATCCAGGAGTGTCCACTAATAAATAATGACTAATTAAAAGATTCTTTATCAATGCTAAAGATTAACAGCAGTCTGTATCTTCGTATAATGCGGCAGCTGTAAGAGGGCTTGCCCAAATTCAACACAGTTTAGGAGTAATGTGTATAAATGGTCAAGCAGTAAATAAAAATCTTCAACAAGCCCGGTGATGTCGACCAGCACCCGCGTCTGCAAGGCGCTCTCCACGGCTGACAGGACCGGATCCCAGACCATCCAGCCGTCGATCGCGCCCTTCTCGAACGCGGCGCGGCCGTCGGCGGATGTAAGGAATAGTGTTTGACCATCGCGATTACAGTTTTCATTGCTCTAACTATTGGTAAAGAAATTATTTAAAAATACTCAATAGCAACCGACATAGGCAACAAACTTTATTACATGGTCTCAGACATGCATGAAGGTGCTTCAAATTTTGTGAGCTCCATAACTTCTTGTGATGACGGATTCAGATGCTCATATTTTACCTGGATATACTAGAAAGAGACACAAACAAAATGAGCTACAAACAACTTTTTAACGCCTTTCATACCTTTTTACTGAAAAAAGGATGAGTTCCTCCAGCGAAAGATTAGTTTTTCTCCGTTGTTTTGATTGGTAGTCTTTAGACTATCTTTCACTGTGTCGAAACTGTCACGAGTTTTCCAGAGGAAGGAGCTATTATTAACGAGAATTAAACGCATTTCACTCAGTTACTTACAACCACACCGTGTTTCATATCGTTGAATCGTGAGCCCCCTCCCCTACATGTAGGTCAAGGTCCTTTTGTGAACCTTTTTACTACCTTGATACCCTCTATCGATCGACGTATGAATGAACGAAATCGGAAGGTATCGCTTGGATAGGTTTCCCCGTCAGAACCTGCAAAAATAATTTTTTTTATCAAACTAAGCTTTTAGATACCGTGCAATGTGCTCTATATTCGATGAGTGCAATAACATAAACATTTCAGTTATCGTCGATTCATGCTTATCGAATCGTGTGTCTGAGATATTAGTTAGTGGTTTTGGGCATTTATTAAAGCACTAAAACCGATACAACCAAGTATTTAACATGAGAAAACTACGTTGTTTGGTGGGATGTGCTGTGTCAAATCTGTTTCAAGAAAAACTAAATCATAAGAAATAATGAAAGTTGTTGTCACGTTAAAATTCGATCTGTACGCGCTATCACCAAAGACTATTTGAGCGCCCAAGATTTCTCACTCATGAACCTATGTTAATGCTTAAACATTAACTTTTATTCATGCTTATCAAATCGTGTGCCTGAGATATTAGTTAGTGGCTTTGGGCATGTATTAAAGCACTAAAATCGATACAACCAAGTATGTAACATGAGAAAACTACGTTGTTTAGGGCACAGTTGATGCCCGATTACACAAGGATTGTGTGAATGTGCCCAAAGCATGCGAGTGGTTAGTTAGCGGGGTGTGCGATTTTAATATGTGCCTGCTGAATAATATAATTGTTGATACGAATATACCTTAAGTAGGATAGTGAAGTCCAGCGTCCTAAAGTCTGAATAAGATGATGGGGTAATCCTCTTGTGCTGCCGTTGTTGCTGTGCCTATACGGAAGCTATGACCTGTGTAACCCAAGCAAAAACGACCCAATTTTTTGGGTTATTTATCTAGATTCAGGTCCACGTGCATCTACGTGGACCTGAATCTAGATAAATAACCCAAAAAATTGGGTCGTTTTTGCTTGGGAATTTGAGTTGTGAAAACCTAACAGAGTTAGTGTATGTCTTAAGCATTGAACAAATGTACAGCGGGTAACTGTTTTACCATCTGGAACCATACTTCGAAGAGGAATTTTACTTCCTTCCACAAGAACTTTAAACATAAAACACAATCGGTCATTATTGTTTTAGGAGAAAAGAAAAATTTGTTCCACTTCCGATTACATGTCAGAAGTGCATGCATACTATTTTCGAGTAGATTATGTTAATTTACGAGTTGGAAGACAACTTTGATAATTCTCAATAGTTTTACAAACACATTTGTGCCATTTTCTTACTTTCATAGAAGATTCGACAGGATCATTCCAAAATTTGACGGGACAGGATAGTAAAATGTTAGAATCAAGATTTGTTGTTATGATGATAGTATTTGGTCTTCTGAATCTGTTTTTGAAATTATAATTTTTGTGTGGGAAAAAAGCTTGCTGTTTGTAAAGGCGATCACTTACGTATTCATTTCATTCAGTGTCTTTATAGTTTCTGAAGTGGGGTAACACATGTTCATTTCGTGGGTCTCAAAGCACACATGTGTTTTTACATACTTCTTCATCATCGTACTACACCTAGGCATGCATCGAGACAAGAAGTCTCGAGAAGCCTCGATACTGTAGTCTCGAGAGACCTCGATACTGTAGTCTCGAGAGACCTCGATACTGTAGTCTCGAGAGACCTCGATACTGTAGTCTCGAGAGACCTCGATACTGTAGTCTCGAGTCTCGAAAAGTTTCGATAACCGAAACTTTAGTCTCTAATAGTCTTGAGTCCCGAAAGTTTCGGTCTCGAATAGTCCCGAGTCTCGAAAGTCTCGAATCTTATTACTTGTATAAGATCCTCTCATTTGCTGAGAAAATCGAGGAACCCGTTTTTTGTTGCATACATTTTTCTGATTTTAATAAGATGGGTGTAGGAAGACTTTCCTTCAGTCGCTGTGTGTGTATTTCACACATAGTCATGAACTGGACTAAAACTGAATGCGCAAAAGATAACTTCGTAAGGTCTAACTTTTCGATAAAGAATAGAAGGCATCAGCCACCCTAAATTCCAAGGTATGTCGGCTATCTTCCCGAGCAACCAAGGGTCGAAACAGATCAACTTTGTTTTGTTTCTGTTACTTATTTATTTTCTTTTTTTTCTAACAAAAACGTTACGCAGCTTTACAACAACATAAAAAAATAGTCTCGAAAAAGTCTCGGAAAGTTTCGATACCGACACTTTTATATCGAGACTATCGAGACTAAAGTTTCGGGTACTGGGTACCTCGTCTCGGTGCATCCCTAACTACACCATCCCAGTGCTACTCGTTTAATTCATATTATATTAGAACGCAAATATTTGACAATAAAAATAGGATTGATCAATGATGCCACACCTGAGATCTCGTCATCTTAATTAAATTAGCTCTTATTCTACGTCCATTGTTTGTCTAGTGTTAAGTGAAATGTTAATTGTTAAAAAACGCAGATAAGAAGCAAAACAAAACCGAAAAAAATTCATGTTAACTCAAAACATTCAACTTTTTCAGTTGATAACAAGGTTCAATAGTGTAAACAAATTTTACAGATTCTCATTCGTTTTGGATCGAATATATCGGAAAAAAACGTTAGACCATGCAAAAGTTAAGATCTGTGGCTCCTATGTCAGAAGTACATGCATACTATTTTAGAGTAGTTTGTGTTAATTTACGAGTTGGAAGACAACTGTTCAAAGACTTTTATCCAAGTCCATAAGCTGTTTCATTTCTTGGAAGCAATAAGCTACTTTTGTCAACATGTAGAAAGAAGGATTTGGAACGAAAATATTTATGCTGCGAAGCAACAGTGCCCTGTTGTTTGAGTGAGTATAAAGAGAATGGAGCTTCTATTTCAGATATCACGCATTGATGCAGTTGAAAAGCTGAGCATGATTATGTTCTCAGTACTTTTTTCGTTAAATGAAAATCACACCTATTGTTGTTGTTTTTCATTTTAGATAGAAAAGAATCTTTTAGTTTTAATTTTGGTCCGGACAAGAAGAAAAAAAAGAATTATGGCATTAGTTGAAGACAATGGGCGTATGTTGATAAACATAAATCGTGTATTTTATACGAATCATGATGTATCCTACGACTATGATGCATACAAAATAGCTGTTGATTCTGACAATATTGTCAAAGTAATGCATGCTTTAGATATACGTGATCCAATAAAAAATCAAATTTTTGGTGTTTACGGTGATAATGACACAATACTAAAATTTCTTCAAACAATTTTTGAAAACAAATTTAACGACCGTATTCCAGCACTATTGAATTCATTATCTGACAATGATGAGAAACCGTCAGTTTGGACGTTAAATAATAATGAAAAATTTATATTTGTAATTATTCTTCATAATGACATTGATCCATCTGTTATATTACGTAAGAATGACATATTAATTATTATGCAAAAATTTTTACAAGATATATGTCAACATATATTTATTTGTCCAACAGAATCATTCTTTTTAGAATTCTCTATTGAACATCCGTTTAAATCGAGAGCACATAGTAAACGTAATTATAAAATGCTTGAAACGGAGATCTCCGATGTTAAAATACAATCATCAATAAACATTCACGATGATAATATAATCAAATCAATTTCTACTTATTCTAAATCTAAAAATAAAATGCATCGTACATCATCAAAATATGCTTATTTAACATCCAAAATAATGGAAAAAGAAAATCAAACAGAAAGATATGAAAAATTAAATAAATTAGAAAATATTTTAAAAGAAAAACAAAATATTATTAATTTTAGTTTAAATGATTTATGTAAGTTATTAAACAGTTGTGATATTTGAGTGTCAAATGAATAATTGAAGACATTATCCATAATTCATGAGAAATTAAATCAAGAGCTGAATAATAATCATAAAAAAACAACAAAATTTATACGTAATCTACTTGATGAGTATGTTGAAACGTCAGGCTTTAAATGGTCTCATTTGATTCCTTTTGGATCTTCAACTAATAAATTTACAAATAGCATGGCTCATGGATTTGCCTTAGACATGACTAATGTTATTCTTGGTTCATCGATAACATTTTTAACAATTGAACAATTGGTTCGTTCGACAATGGCAGATATTCATCACTGTCGGAAAAAGAAAGATTCCAAACAATATGATAACAAATCTACCGCTTGTTTAGTAACACAAATATTTAGTTATTATGAACATAAGCCAGCGCTTCAGCATAATGTGTTATTAAATGAATTTATTACTCAAATATTAAATGTTTTAAAACACTCATCATCATCTACTGATTCTCGAAATATTCGTTTAAATATATATCGAATTGTTCATAATGCAAATCGAAATTTACAACATATAAGTACAATTTGTGATAAAAACATTGTATTTAAATCAACTGATCTTGATTCATTATTTAATCTCACGGGATTTGAAGAAAACGATCGTTTATCTTTCATTAAATCACTTGAAATTATCAATTGTTTTACAACAAAAATGAAAAAAATGATGTCATTGTATTTAAACATTCACAAATAGATAATAAAAAATTGTCCATGATGAATAATACATATCTATTTGTATTAAATATTAATGGTTATTTAAAAAAACTAGCAAAATTTGAAGTAAATAAGTTATTTTTTATTTCTAACTCAACCAATGATGTTTTTATGACCTATAATATTGATAATGGAAATATGTTTTTATGTTCAATTGATGATTATGGAAATTGGAAAGAAAGTGTATTACGTGTTGAGTATGATCGTAATCAAAAAACATCTGATATTTTAAAGTGCAACAATGACAACATCCAATGAACAAATTATTTTCATTGATAATAAAAAGAAAATATATTCCATTGACATTTCGGAAGAAAAACGACAAGCTAATGCTAAAATAATTTCAAAAAAAAAACTATGATCGATAATAATGAAATAAAATATGATTTTAGATCGAAATCTGGTCCATATTTTTGTGTTCAATGTCTTGGAGATAATCCTGTATTCTTTTTTCAATCAAAACTATCTATTGATATTATTGATCGTATTTATTGTCAATTATATAGTTTGAATATTCCACAAACAAATACTGACTATCAGTTACAAATATTTACTGATTACATTGACACTTATTGTCTTTTATTCGATTTAAACACTAGTCAAGCGTATCATATTGAAAATTTATTATCATAATGTTGTATTCGTCGTCAAGAAAGTGATACAAATTTGACTGATGATAAGCAAAATAAACAAATTGGTAATCATTTTTTCGATATTATAAAATATGGTGAATTAAAATTTGGTACAAATTTAGTTGCTATTGATTCACCAGAAAAAAATATTTATCATCTTATAGTTTCTGATAATGAAACATTTTCTTCAAATAGTGATAATATTTTAAATTATTTTAAAAATTTACGTTTATCAACAGAATTGACAATATGCCATAATATTTCTCTTCTATTCTGTTTGATCTCACTTAGTTCAACAGCGACAAATTTATCAAAAATTCTAGCTAGTCGAGTTCCACTTCAAATATGCACAATTGAAACAGGAAGTTTAATTCCTCTTTTTGATGGAAAACGTGATTTTATTGATCATATGTTATCAAAAAAATCATTTAAAATAGAAACAAAAGCACGTGAAATATCATTTTCTTATTTAGATAATGTATTACGTAATTTAACTAATGATATAAAAATAATTGAAATTATTGGTCGACAATCAAGTGGAAAAAGTTATTTAATGGATCGAATATTTTTGCCACACGATTTGCAGTAGCAGCTGGACGTTGTACAGATGGTGTTTGGATGAGTCATGCTTATATTAATAATACTGATTTTATTGTATTTGATTGTGAAGGTTTATTTAGTGATAAACGAACAGAAGAAGAAGAAATAAAATTAATTGCATTTTTATCTGCTGTTTGTGATATAACAATATTAATTCAAGATTTAAGTTTTGATCGTTATCAAGATCGTCTATTTTCAGTATTATCACACTCAATTAATAGATTAACAATATGTGATGAATTATTTAAAGGTAAATTATTAATTGTTGTAAGGCGCTCCAAATTCAAAGATCAAGCACTATTTTTGAATTCATTTGTAAGATACATCACTCGACGCAGAATTTGGCGCTGATCACGAATATCACCTTTAAAATTTGATTACTTTGTATTTTCCCTGAGAAAACATAAAAATTCGAAAAAACCGCGATTTTTAGGCAAAAAACGTTGTTTTGGAAAACCGCTTTATAGCCTAGTCTG